TCAGCAATTTCCCAGCCCGTCCACGCTGTTCTTGTAAAGCAGCAAGGTCCTGGAACGTATTCCCTAAAACTGCTACGCTCTAATGAAGAGGTGCGACAACAAGAACATAGGCAAGTCATGGCGAGGGATCAATCTATCTAGTCTGAACCCTTTGAGACACAGTTAAGGGGCGCACTTCAGAGGCACTTAAGAAAGGAGTGCGCCTCTGAGGCACTAAAGGGGGGCACTTCCGAGGCACATGAGGAGCACGCTTCTGAGGCACTTAAGGCGCGCGCTTCTGAGGCACTTCAGGGGCACCCTTCTAAGGCACGTAAGGGACGCGCCTCCGAGGCACTTAAGGGGGAGCACTTCCAAGGCACTTAAGGCGCGCGCGGCTGAGGCGCTTGGGGGGCACGCTTCTGAGGCGCTTAAGGCGCGCGGCGCTGAGGCGCTTAAGGGGCACGCCTCTGGGGCGCTTGAGGGGCGCGCCTCTGAGGCACTTAAGGGGCAAGCTTCTGAGGCACTTGGGGCGCGCGCTTCTGAGGCACTTAAGGGGCACGCTTCTAAGGCACGTAAGGGACGCGCCTCCGAGGCACTTGAGGGGGGGGCACTTCCAAGGCAGTTAAGGCGCGCGCTGCTGAGGCGCTTAAGGGGCACGCCTCTGAGGCGCTTAAGGCGCGCGCTGCTGAGGCGCTTAAGGGGCACGCTTCTGAAGCGTTTCAGGGACAGTAAGCGTTGCTTGAGCGGTGACTTTTGCATCGCTTAAGCAGTCACTTTTGCATCGCTTAAGCGGTGACTTTTGCATCACTTACACAGTGACTTTTGCATCGCTTAAGCGGTCACTTTTGCATCACTTAAGCAGTGACTTTTCCATCGCTTAGACGGTGACTTTTGCATCACTTACACAGTGACTTTTGCATCGCTTAAGCGGTCACTTTTGCATCACTTAAGCAGTGACTTTTCCATCGCTTAGACGGTGACTTTTGCATTACTTAAGCAGTGACTTTTCCATCGCTCAGACGGTGACTTTTGCATCGCTTAAACGGTGAATTTTGCACCACTTAGTTTAACCCAAAGTGGTGACCAAGCGGAATATCCATAGGATGCCTTTATGCGATTCAACAAGCATCGGTATGTAAAATTCTGTTTCATATCTAGCCATACGGTAGAGAAAGCGCCAGAATCCCGCTAATCATGAGGAGAAATCCGCAGACCGATTTTCCGACCGCTGTCTCTGGCACCACGTCACCGTAGCCAACCGTCGCCTTCGTGACCACCGTGTACCACAAAGAAGCGCGAATGGAAGGAAAATTCAGTGTGTGGACCGGTACCGCGTAGAACCCATCTGGACCGATCTCACTGCTCACCTACGATATATTGATTGAAGGGACTAACCTCGGGTAAATATGAGGTAAGTATAATATCTTTTGCTGCAATGTTGTAAAAATGGCCCGGTATACTACTAATCCCATAGAACTCTATAAGTCATTGATCCAAACTCTTCTGTTACCACGTGTAATTTTTGCGTGTAAGACGATAAGGATCAATAGGCAACTAGACCACTACTGTTGTAATGATCTAGGAGTTGTGTCAAAGTCCAAAGGACACTACTCATCTTTTGATCTAGTAGCGTCTTCAAAAATGCAGTACTAGTGTCGGTCAATACCTGGTCTGCCAAGGGCACCTCATAGAAGCAGTGCTCTATGAAAGACCGGTCATTGTGAGTCTTGGCGTCGCATTCATAGGCGCAGTGGATCTTCTTCGAGGCTCCTGGGGTTGTGGAGCTTAATTGCGCTTGCGCTTCAATAAAACTTTTGAAGTCCTCCCTTGTCGAAAATTCCGGACACGACAAACGCTCGAAAGAATACACGATTGTATGAAGGGGGTTTAGGGTACATACGAAAGGGGGGGTTTTGGTCGTTATGGCAACTGAAGAACTGTGATTACGAGTGGTTCCTCTATCTTCTAGGTGGCTGGTCGTAGTTTACTTGATGGAAATAACATGGCACCACATTCAAGATTAGTCGAGCTTCTTGGAAAGAGATCGAAGTTGTTCCGCATAAAGCGCTCCGAGCAGCACACCTGCAAGCAGAATCCACATGACAAGAATGTAAAGAGCCGTCTGGGAAACGCGAAACGTCATCATCAATAACCGGCCTATCCGCATGTTCATCAAGAGGCGGATCAAACGTGCCATACGAAAAATCCGAAGCACCTCCAGAATCTTCGAACCACCAACGAGCGTTCCCTGGGAAATTTTTATGTGGAAAACATGTTGTTCTACAACACACTGTAGCCTTGTTACAACTGCCGTGCATTATAGAACCATCGCGAGCACATTGCACATGCTCATAATCATAGCCTGTATTACCGTGAAGTATGGAACCATCGCGAGCAAATCGCAGATGTTCAGGGGGTTTTTGAAGAAGTCTGCACGTGGGTTTCCAAACGCAGTACAGACGTAGCATCTGACGATGTACTCTAGCACGAAATACAGCACAATGACGCCATCGATTACCAACTTAAATTAGAAGCGGGATGGTAAAACAAGTTACTCTCTGGTGGTTCTCCATCTGAATATTCACATTTTCCTGATTTGTGAGAAGCTAAATGTTGTAGTCTTCTCTTTTTTTGATGAGAACCTGCTGTCCATAAAAACCTGCTGCATATGCGAACTTTGAATAACCAATAGCGTTCAAAATTCATCGAAATTGAAAAATCGTAAATATGCTTCTACTTCGAAAAATGATTTCTGTCCTCAAATGCTTTAATGCGCATCTCTTAACAATGTGTCGGAGTGACTTTTCCCAATACGCCTGGGTGCGACTGCGCCAGCACAGATATGATCGATACGGTGATGAAGAAATCGGATACGGCATTGCAGATTGCTGGTACCCGTCGCCCCTCGAAAATGCCACTCAACATTAGAAATGAAATCAATATTATCTTCATCATTTCTAAATACACTCTGTGGCGACCAGACATACCATAGTCGATCGCAATGACGACCATAGCACTACATACACAGAGCACAAAGAAATCCGGCGGGATCGTACGCGTCGCCCGGAGCGCATCAAAACAAACAAACAAACACTCTGTCAACATGAAGAAGTACTTCGTGCTACTTTTACAACTTACAACAAAGATTATAAAGTTGTTCCCTGGATGTAGGTTGATCTCTCGATACGAGAGTATTTTCATCCCTAGATAAACCCTGTCAACACAAAGAAGTACTTACAATAGCAAGATGAATAGCAACACTCAACATCGTAACTTAAGAGGCGTCTGCCCGTAGCGTTCCTCGTAGAAGAAATACATTTCGACTTGATCGACGTCGATGTCCAAGTTGGGCTCAGGAAAGCCGAGATAAATGTACCACCTTCTGGCCAATTTGACATCCCAGGAGTCCCTTGCAGCGATCGGTGCCGAACCCGCAAACTCTCGCGGCGATTTGTCTTCACCGGCTCCATCTGTTGAACCATAGATAGATGGATGAGATAGTCCTTTTCCTTGTGGATCTCCATATATGGAGATGATAAAAGGATTTGTGGAGAAGGAGAATGGAGAACAAGAAGTTCATATCTATGGTACACTTGCAAGTTTTTGATCGACAGCCGCGAAACAGCATCTACTGTAAAAAATAGCACAGGTCAGACAACAGCAATAAAAGCACCGTCCATCGCAAACGAGCCACTCAGCTGCATGGCTTTGAGCTTACTATCCCTCCTTGACTTCTGTCTTAGTCGGGCGTCCACCGCTTCCTCGGTGTATAGGGCCTCCTCCCCCTCTTGCACAGCAGGAGCGAATGAAGCCATCTTGATGATCGCGACTTCGGCTCCGCTCACAACTGTCTATTACCAGCACAGCAGCGGAAGATGGGGCAGGACTTCGCGCTTTCGCTTGTGACTAGAGGCGTACTCCGCAAGGCCAAAGTGAGTCTTCAGAACGATGAGCGGTCATGAAGTGAGTGTTCTTCTACCCTTTGCTTCGATTATAACGCAGAGAGTCGCCGAGGAAAACCTGCTTCGAGGGACGGGACCCGATAGTGTAGGCAGTAGAGATCCGGCTCGCGACTGCGGCAGTGTTCTTGATGCGGCTGTACACTGTAGAAATCGCGCCTGCTTAGACGCTCTTTCTTGCTGCCTGCGAAGAACATAGAGTGATTGATGGACTCTATTTCTTCACGATTCACTGATTCTAAGTCGCTCTAACGTTGGTCTCCAAAGTTCGTCTTGATGGAGATGATCGGCAAGTGCCGGCTCTGCTGGTTCAACCACGTCTCTTCGCGGTTCTTCCCGTCAGACGCACAACTGTTTTCTCGGTGGTCCTCATCTCGCCTTCGCGTCGTCTGCTGTCGCGTTGCGTGGCGCAAGTCTCTCTTGCGCGACAGCAAGTTGCGCAAGCTGCCTAACAAAGATACGATCAAACGAGCACACAGTGTTTCTCTGAGCCGTCACCGGAACTTCTACTTCATGTCGCCTACTGCGATCGACTCACCCTTTCGGCGCGCTAGCGTATTCAAATCTCGGATGCCTATTCCGCGCTTCTGCGTCGATAAAATATTCGTTACCACATGGCAAAAATTATTCCCCACGCGGTAGGGGTACAAATCGTGAGGAGGCGGGTGCTGTCCACTTATTACATCTTCATTATGTTCTTCGACACGACGACCCCTGCTAGAACAAATCATGTTTAATGTTTTATGTATCGTTTCAGGATATTTATTAACTTCTGTCCATTTGTGCTCACAAAGACCCCTGCCGAGGGGGGCCTGCACAGCCTCGTTTGTTACAACTTAGCTCAAGCATGCAGCGGTGGTAATTACTTGTATCAGTTTTTTCGTGGTCTCTATCACACACCAAAACCCTTTTTTTTCACACTCTTGTTCACGCCCTCACACTTTCCTCTCACTATCTCCGACTCGCAGTCGTCATAAGCGCTGGTCTTCTCCACTCATATACAAGCAGAGGCTCCAAATCGCTCTAACTGGCAAGCAAAAAAGAAATGCTCGCGCGCCCTCCATCTTGAATAACCCCCAGGGTCACGCATTAAGATCTCAATGCGGGGCTACTATGCGGCCACTAAGAATAGAGTGTGAGAAATCCGCGAAGGTGACACGATCGCGTCTCATCATGCACCTCAAATGTTGTTGTCGATCTAAAAAACTTCCCAAACCACGAAGTGCAAATACAACAAGAGAGCTTTATGAAGCAGCTTGTTTTCTTGGATTGAATACTCAGATCGTAGAAGGTAGCTTAGCAGTTCCCTAACCATGATATCTAAGTCCACGAATCGATTGGCGCACTCGACACGCCTACGGGATATCATGTTGTATTGATTTAAGTTCTGAATGCGTAGAAGCAACGAACTTTAAATTTGCGCACGTTCTTAAGGAATTTTCTATCTGCACCTCCCGGGTTGAAAGCCCGACTTTGTGGTCTTGTGGAGGCTTACTAAAAATGATTCCTGTGTAGATGAGAACTAACAAGACAGGACGGCGAACTTGCTGCTGGAATAAAGTAATGTGTCTTTGTTAGCGTCACACAATGACGGTGGCTAATCAAATTTCTTCGAAGTCTCAAATTATTGTACTACGCCTACATCATCACGAGGATAAACTATGATATTGAGCCCACAACAAGCAGTCATCATGAGTGCTCCTGTTGTAGTCGAATGTTGACTACAGGAGTAGAGCCCCCGAGTAGTACTACAGTATTCACTTTTACAACTACAACTCGCGCGAGCATTACACTACGTTTTCCTTCTACAAATCGTCATCCAGGTCGCCAACGTCAGCACTCGCCTCTGGATCTAACATAATGTTGTCCAGCGCGCTTGGCTGCAATAGTGGGAGCTTCGGGTTAGAAGTTTTGTTTCCCTCTGACGAAGGCTTACAGCCACTTACTTGAGGGGGGGGAGCTACTTACTGGAGTCGACGGAGTAGCTCGAAGGTCAAATCAACAGTTCGGCCACGTTTGTCATCGACAGATTAATCAATTTACTCTTTGATTGATTGAGTGATGTAAAAAACATCTGTCAAAAAAGCATCTACAATTGAGAGGGAGAGAGACTGAAAGCCGTAATCTTTAAAAGCTTTTCGCTTTTTTTCCACGCGTTGAGGCCCGACTGAAACGGACCAGGCACACTCTGGATGCCGTGGTAAGCGCCCAACACCATTCCTATTGCGACAGCGCGACTCGCGTTATCACCTCCTACCTATCTTTAGAAGCGGTATATATAATTCGTTGTCAGTTGTATCTATTCATTCTAGCCAGAGAAATTTTTAAGAGCCGGTTCCTTTCGCCATTCTCCACTTGGTCTTTCTTCAGACTCTCTCACCTATGCGTCTCACTTTTGAACTAAGTCGCATCCAAAATAAACATCAAGGCACAGGATATCATGGACGGATGGCTTCTATACTAGTACGCAAGGGAGTCATTTGACAGCAACAATCATTGATCTATTGTTTTCCATAAATCGCATTGGCCTGATAAGCTGCAATCGGGTCGTTTTCGTAACGAAGTATCATGTATATGCAAGAAGGCATCACTCCCTCGGTCGGCGATGCCTTGCCAACCTAGGGTAAGTCATTCTCGATATTCAAAGTCAAAGTGGTGCAGATTAGTAGGAGTGAGGATTCATGCATTAATTAGTACAGAGCAGTTTAGTACAAGTACAACTGTGGTGATTGGAAGACTAATTTGCATCTATTTGGTACAACATCTACATTTTTGTCTTCTACACTGGTGGACTATTTAGAAATCTAGTACTTTGATAGGTTCCGTTTTTCCAACCTCCCACAAGCGGGCCATGCTCGTCATAGCTAAATCGTCTGAAAATTCCTCGGCAGCCAGCGCTGATCCTGCTTTTGACACTTCTTCAAATTTTTTAAATCCTTTGTGCGCTTTAGAAAAATCAGGTGAGGGATAAGACACGCGACGCTAACCGTTCTTTAATATTAATCTAGTTTACAACGGCAAACAATCACTCACCAGTGTCAGACCATAGGATAAAGTACTTAGTCCGCAAAAGCAGCAGCACCAGCAGCAGTACAAGTTCGAGACATCAAAGTCAAAAGCCATAACACACTGTTCCCTTACGAAGCGGCCGGTTCGACTCGTGGCTCCATGGGCACCCATTTGGTCACATGTAGCGCGAATCGCGGCTGCTGGCTTCAACCCGCGAAAAACAATCTATTGGATAAGAAGGGAAAAATAACGAGCCACTCCATTCCATGAAGTCTATCACTGGCTAGCATACCAGCACCTAGACTATGCGATGCTCTGCGCCCTCAGAAGAGAAGACACAAGAGGCAACGTGGGGAACTCTACCAAAGAGTATAGGTTATTCAATACCTGAAGGTTAATGGGCTCAAAGTCAAGGGATCTAGTATTAAGTGTGGATAGTCCCATAAAGAATTGAAGCAGTGATCTAACACACGTTCTCGGACTTTCTCTAGGGTTAAGCACAGGTTCCTTTGCGTATAAGGAATCCCTTGTAACAAGACCTTGTGCGCAGCTCTGGTGAAGAATTCTGTGCCGGCTAAAGCCTCCCCATTGCGGTGTGTAAAAAGAAGTGCTCGCGAAGCTTTAGTTAGAGCTGTAGTGTGGCATTATCTCCAGCATGCCAGGATCCGCTGCAAAAACGGATGGATAAAAAAGGGATTGGGATTGGGATACTTCTACTATTAACAAACAGCGCTGGAAGATACAATGAGACACAACTACGACCCTGCTTAATTTAGCTGCGGCTTTCTCGCTTGCGTAGACGCCGAAGACTGACGCTGACCGAACTGCCATAGCATTCGACATTCCGCCTAAAGACCTAGTAGGTGCTTTGGCACGCACCTGAAAACAAAGAAAAATTGCAAGGAAAATAGGTCTACTTCTCAGTGGGAAGAGAAGCCCGACCATAGAAGTCCATAGAGAACAAAAGTATTTATCTTCGACTAAATTAATAGGAGTAATACTTCTTAAATGTGCTGGCACGGGTAATATTGTTAATGATAAGGACATCATCGTGAGCCGAGTTCTCTTTCCGTGTCAGCAGACAAGCCGTCACGTCCTTGTCAACAGAGTAAATACCTGTTGCAAGGTTTGCTTTGTCTGCGTACATCGCCAAGCACCCCAAGAATCCGCTTCGAGACCGTTTTTCCAAAACGGTATAAGTTTCTCCAGATCTACCGCAGCACTGCTTTTCTAATGATTAGCACAGTATCAATTAAATCTTCTATTGATGGGCATGCAGCGGTTTCGGTGTAGGTGACGTGTACACGTACATCAATTATCATTGGTAATGCTCCCTAATCCATAAGGAGTCATGTCATGTCTTAGTACAGCTCTACAATCTATAGTTGTGATAATTCAGTGCCTATTGTGTAACCGAATCGAGTTCGGTGCGTACTAGATGAAGAAAACGACTATCAGTGGATCACAAATAACACTGACAAGTAATCACTGCTCTTTTCCTTCATATCTTTTGCGAAGAATTCTAGCATGAGCAAGTTGTATTTCTTAGACGTTTCACGGTAGCTCTTCATTATCCTGACAACGTGAGTGAAGATTCTGTGGCGGTGCATTTTCATCTTCACTATGTGGCTTATCATTATCTTATAGACCTGGCGACGAGATCGACACGACCAGGACGATAAAAACTCCACAGGGGACGATGTACACCCACAACACTCCACAGTCACACTTCCCGATAATGGATAATGAAAATCTTCGATGCAGCACCATAAATTGTCCGTAGTCCGTCTGATCGCCCGCTTTTTGTCCTGGGTGATAGTTGCGTCTGCCCCATCCGACTCCGTGCGTGGATCCGCCAAGCCATTCCCCAGGTGCTCGATTTAGAGCAGGTGGTCGATCATTGTCCTTTTCTTCTTGGGGTGGGTGAGTGTTGGAGTGGGTGGGTGAGTGAGTGGGTGAATTGGTTAGTGAGTGACCGAGTGAGGGAGTTGCGACATCTTTCCCTTTTGTTTTCCACTTGAAGTTAAGAGAGAGATTGCACTCAGAGATAGGCACTCAGGATATCTGAAGGATAAAGCCATAATAGATACCTCTCCGGAGCTTTCCCGCCATATGCTTGCTTGATAGTAGGTGCGTCAGTCTCTTGGAGCCAAAGAAAACATGATGTTGAAAATAAAGATAGAGAAAGTTCCATTCTTTATCTGATCCGGATTAGATACAAGGCATTTATAAACTAGATCGCAAAATACGTTAAGCTAAATGCCCAAAGAAGAAACTGTTTTGTATATCTGTTTTGTATATAGTTGATGTCTTTTCGAGAAAATCCTAGTAGTACACTGGAGTTAGATATTATTTTCTTATCCCTCCTTGCCATAATACTCGTAGTGACTTCCTAAGCACAACGCGTCTGCGACAAGAGCTCCAAAAAATGCGCCCCGAATACGCTCGGGGATCTCTTCCAGAGGCGCCGCAAGAGCCGCGGTCGCAGCGATAGATGCAAGCACGTGGATATTCTTCATTCTTTCTTCATAAAGGTTGTGACGCAAAAGTCAAGGGCTCCTCTCTCTCTATCTCTATCTCGAATCAGCATGCAGCTAAGATCTACTCCCATGTAGATATCTACTACTTGCCACCTCGGAAGTTTTTGGAAGAGGACGTACGTTTTTCTGGGCTACTGTACAGCAGCCCTAGCAACAAGCTCAAGTTCAAGTTCGGTTACACGAACACTGTCAAAAACGGAACACCGCGGGAAGCGAGGACGGCGTCGACCTCCACTCGAAATTTTTTCTTATCTAGTAACGCATATGCATAAGTAACAATGGAAAATCATTTTTGTCTCACCAGTCAAACATTGCATTTTCATCAAGTGAGTCCTCCGCTACGTAGATGGGTATACGGATTGTTCCCGAACTGCTACAGCTTGTTGTGGTCGTACAATGATTCAAAGTGCCACTTCTTGTATGAATGGACGAAAGTGACTACTCCTAAATTCTCAAGGAGCTATCTGGATTCTCAAGTAAGAGTTCTTGCCAAAGTATGGGTGTCAAAATAAGCTCGCTCTTGCATTTTATAGACCACCTTCTAGGATAGGATAGGTTTCTATAGATAGACCAGTTTCTAGGTTCTATGGACCACTTTCTCGACACATTTTCGCGTAAGCACTTTTAGTTCATGGTATCTCTGCTGCAGCGTTCAGAAACAGACACTTTTTAAATGCTCCACGGAGATGTAGAAACTCGATTATACCTTATTAGAAGCCCGCGAAGTATGTGGAAAGTAAATTACTTCACTAGATGCACATGCGGAGTGTGTATGAAGCAGGAAGTCATGACTTCGTTAGATGCGGAGCGGATTAAACAAAGAAAATTAATTGCTCACTCGATGCGCTTCTTACTCGTCTATAATGAAGATCGCCAGGAACGCCTTACCTCATGCGTAGAAAAGGAGCATAAGCGCAAAAAATATATGCACGAACTTATAAGTTCTATCGGCCTTGAGCGCTAGCCTAAACCTGCAAAAGCAGACCTATCGATATGCGGCCGAATTACAACCCTGCGAAAAGAGTTAAAAGTCATCGCTTGCGCCCTTTTTAGCTTTCATCCTTAGTGACCTCCTTGTTCTGAGAGATCCAAAAAAATTCTTCCTAGTTTCCATCTAGATCCCCGCTTTTCAGATCATTATCTGAATTAAGGAAAAAACTGAAAGAACTATATTTTGGCTGAATGCAAAGCTTACTACCAGACCGCTCTATTACATTTATATTCGTCGAAAAAGATTAAAAGTTGTGCGTAAATAACCTTGTTAACCTTATGATAGTCAAGAAACCTACTTGTGTGTAAATCATTTCATTTCATTTTATGAAAAATTGTGTGTAAATAAAAAGAATTCTTATAATTTCCCAAAGCCCATACTTTTGTTTTTCCTTCCCTTGTGCACAAACGGCCGTGAGTCTTTCGTTGGATGATCAATATTACTGATCAGGGCTCCTTCCCCTCGGGTTCCCACAAGGTGAAGGAGCCCTTCACCGCGGCTTCCCACGGTCAGCGACGTGAAGGCCCGGCTACGTTGGATAGCCATTCAGTCAAATATGCGTTTACCCCACACTCAAAAATAACGCGTGTACATAGCTGTACACGACATCAAGACTCATGTAATTCCCAAAGGTATCATGGATAATAGTTTTCTGTTGCAATTGCGCGCACTCAGCCTAGCGTTTGGGCCCTGCATAGCGTCAGCAGCCTCTCTTGTTTCTCTCCCCGCTTCTCGCTCCTCGAGATTCGAGGGCGCGCCGCGGTGGCTGCTGGCATCGGGCTCCCTGCGGTTCAGAAGACCCAAGAAAAAGGAGAGGGAAGAGCAGAGAAGACGCTCGCGCAGCGCGTCGCAGCCTGCCCCGTTTGGGTTCCACGCTCAGCGTAATCCCCAAGCCTGGCCCGAGTTTCGAGCATGCGCCGCGTTGTGTCTCTCAAGCCAGGCGAAGTCTTTGGACTGGCTCCGCCCTGTGTTTGAGGGCGGCTGCTGGCGGCCGCGGCTGGGGTGCGCTTGGCGGTGTCGTGGTGCGGCTTTTCCTTAGCTTGACCGACGGCGCAGCCTTCAGGCCTTGAGAGCAGGGAACACCGTGGACGAATCTGCTGAGAGAGACCCACCCAAGGAATGGAACAAGCGGAAGCCAGCAAGAGCGCGCCCAAACTGGTCAAATTTGACAAATTTCACACATGCCCGCTTATTATTTTGGAGAAGCTTGAAACAGCTCGAAAGCCTCTACCACAAACTTCGGGACCCCTTCAGGGCCTTGGCTCGCTTTGGTAGGTCTCCGGCGCGGGTCCTCTTCGGTGTGGGTGCTCTTCGCTGCGGAGGCCATTCCCCCGCGCAGCGGTCGCCTGCGGTGTCCACGCATTCCGTGGCATACCTTGCCGCGTGTCGCGGGTGGCGTAGTGACAGGCTACCAGGCTACGCGCGTGGCCTTTCGGTGGCAATTCATAAGATAGCAAAATAATGCAGCGGATTCATTGCAGTGGAGACTATAAAAGAAAAAGCTCCCCGCTCAGCTTTTTCGGCTCAGAATCTAGAGGGGGGCCGGGCTCTAGAGCTGGGGACTTTTTTCGAAGGGGATAAAAAAAGCAGAGCAAGCCGCTACTTTTTTGGCTCAGGATCTAGGTAGAGGGAAGGGACTTGGCTGCGAACCTATTTCAGAGAGGACTGAGAAAAGTAATACCCTTCCCGCCTTTTCCTCCCAGAATCTAGACGGGAGAGCATGGGCTACAGATTTACTCTATAGGGGACCAGAAAGCTGCCCCCAACTTTTTCCGCTCAGAATCTAGAGCGAAGGGCTTGGACTGTGGGCCCTTTTCAGTGGGGACCGGAAAGCGCTGAACGCTTTCCACTTTTTTGGTTCAATTACTGGAGGAGAGTGCTAGGGCTGTGAATTTATTCCCGTAGGTTTTAGAAAAAGAGGAAACTTCTCCACTGTTTGCGGCTCAATTACTCGAGAGGAGCGCTCGAGTTGTGAACCTATTCGACTGGGGACCAGAAAAGAAAGAACCTCTCTCGCGTTTTTCTATTCAATTACTTAAGAGGAGCGCTTGGGCTGCGAATTTATTCCAGCTGGGACTAGGAAGAAGCTAACTCTTTTCGCGCTTTTCTGCTTAATTACTAGAGGGGAGCGCTTGGGCTGCGAATTTATTCCAGTGGGGGCCAGAAAAGAGGGAGCCTCTCTCTGCTCATTTTTGCAAGTTTTCTCCTTAGAAATGAAACCGCCAGGAATTTTCGCCAGTGCTGTCCCATATCAAAAATTGCGAAAGAGGCGACTTCTCTGAATTATCCCGCCACCTGCTCCGCGCTCGAAAATTCGACACAGCTGACACCTTTCCCTCGCGGTGTCTATCTTTCAGCTGAGCAGCTGCCTACGCTCTAAAAAAAACAGAGGCACTCCCCTCGATACGGATACACGCACGAAAGTCGAAACCATTAAGAGGAGACACCTTGGGAGTTCGCCACTACCCACCGATTAAGAACCGTAGCCCGACTACACGGCGCGCGCGTCTTGCATTTTTCTGCCTTTTTGCCAGCGAATAAAATTGCTGGCGTTGCGATGTTTACATCGTCGCCGATGGCTGTCCTATGCCTTCTCCTTACCGTAAAGGGAATGACTTGCGCCCATTTGTTTTGACTGTTTTGGCTCATTTTTTGAGTCTATTTTTTTTTCGACTTCTTGTGAGTTTTTTTTTCTAGTTTCGTCCTTTTCTAGTGCATTCTAGATCCTTCTTTTTGTCTTGATAGTATTGGATTCTAGTGGGATTCTGGTGAGTGACTGGCTTCATTTGATAATTTCCAGCCGTCTCCATAATTAAAAATTATTTTTGGCTGATAATTCTACGCCCGAAGGATTAATTATTCTGCCACCCAGCCACTCGAGCGATTTAAATAAATAGACAGATAAGAATAGTTTTTAAATCTTTGAGGTTGGCTGGGTGGCAGAATAATTAATCCCTCGGGCGTAGAATTATCAGCCAAAAATAATTTTTAACTATCGAGACGGCTGGAAAATCTCAAGGATCAAGCTCTTCACTCATCTGGCTCAAACTTCGAGACGTTTATGTATCAAATCGATCAAATTGGGACAATTCTATGTCGTTCGTGGGTACTTCCTCGACGGACCTTTGAGCTGAGGAAATTGGTCAAAAATAATTTCCAGCCGTCTCCATAATTAAAAATTATTTTTGGCTGATAATTCTACGCCCGCAGGATTAATTATTCTGCCACCCAGCCACTCGAGCGATTTAAATAAATAGACAGATAAGAATAGTTTTTAAATCTTTGAGGTTGGCTGGGTGGCAGAATAATTAATCCCTCGGGCGTATAATTATCAGCCA